AAAAAAAAAAAAAAGTGCATCTACATAAATCTATGCAAATCTATATAAATGATAGAACTATATAATAATAAAAATAAAATCGTATACAGGGGCGTAGCCAGGATTCAAACTCTGCCTGGGCTATAATTATTTTACTAAAGGATGACATTCACAAATAGACATGTTCAAAGTTTGTGAACGAGCCGTCGAAGAGGCGGTTCAAACCGCCGATTAATGGTTCGTTAACCTGTAGTTTCTATTACAATCAACAGTTCAGCTACGGATTGCAAAATGTAAGAACCTCCTAAAGGTTTGGTTGTTAAATAGAAAAAAGAACGAAAATTTTGGTGAGGAACAAAAAATAAATAAATAAAATAAAGGTTAATAATTTCCCAAAATTTCCCAAAATTCAGGTGGAAAATTGTTTTTTTTTTATTATTATTTTTGTAAAGAGACAATTTGAAAAATTCTATAGTTTCTAAAGAACTTTTCAATTTTTAAAATTAGAATAATAATTGAAAAATAATGGTTACCGTAACTTATACTTTTTAAAGCATAATGTATAATAATTAGGAGAGAGATACTTTAAAAACATCCATTTAGAAATTAGGAGAGAGATAAACATTTTTAGGCAAAGCAAAAAAAAGAAAAAAAAAAAAAGAAAAAAGAAAAAAAAAAACCATTCAAAGTGGGTATCCTGTCAATTAGAATTGTTTATGGGGCTTTAATATTTAGTTGGGCTAATTTGTAAATAAAATGAGAATCTTATATATAATGTTAGTGTTGCTCAAATTTCATCTTATATATAATGTTAGTGTTGCTCAAATTTCAGCCTGGGCTACAGCCCAGGCAACAATACAAGTGCCTCCGCCACTGCGCGCGCGCGCTTGCACCCTCCAAACCGTTGGAGGACGAAGTTTTTTTATTTTCAGTTGGGTGATTTCCTGGAGGACGTTCTGCTTCAGGCAAGGGTTCCTTTTGCTTCTCGAGGTCACTTGTTTGTTGCTGTTTTCACTATTTGATGGGTTTAATGGCATTTGTGTCCCGTTAGTTTCAGGCCCTTTGTTTCCAACTCTGATTTGAACGAACCTATTCCTCTAATGATTTACGAATATTTTTGTATTTGTGGTGTTAATATTTCGGAGTGTTCTGTTATCTTTCTCTGCCTACATGCATCATGTGGCTATTGTAATCACGGCCTGTCTACTCTTGCTGAATCTATGGAGATTTATTTATTTATTTTTTTATTATCATCTAAAGAGAACATCTTGTCTGCTGGCATTTGGCAACCCCGCGAATCACATAAACCTCAGGGTTTTAATACACCCAACGATAGGGTGGATTAGAATATTGCTAGTTCTACTTACATGCAATTTGCTATTCATAGGATGAGGTCAATTTGCATCTAGTAAGTCTTCAATTTGGTATCCTACTTCTACTGATTAAAGAGAGCTAAAACATAATTTGGAGGTTAGTATTGTGAAAACTGCAAATGGAAGGTCCTTCGGTCTTTAGTCTTTACCATGAAACTCGCTATCATTTGAACCTCCGTACTAATAATTTGTTCATTGCGTTGATTCTCGATGCAAAAATACCCATCTTGTGTTTATGGGGATTGAAAAATCAAGTTCTCTATGCTTGGTTTGTGTTAATATGTCCAAAATTTTGCTCGTTTGTTTCTGTCAGCCTGGCATGTGGACTGGTTGAGTAAGGACGAATCATCCCACCCTAGAGGTGCTACTGATTTGTTAATGTTAGTCCAACAAATATGATATTGTTAACCAAATCTTGTTTGGCATTGTTAGGACAAGTTATATCTCCTTTCCGAAATTACTGATCCATTTTCCGGCAAACATCTAGATGACCAAGATGCTTTTCCGAACATTAGTTTTTTAAACCAAATCATATAAACGTAAACCAAAACCGTGTTTCAATTATCTGTTTATGTCCTCCCATTTGCCAAGTAACTATTACAAACAGTTCTCATAGCCATTGTTTGGGGTCACTTTAGTTATGTGAAGAGTAAGTAGTAGAAGTTATAGTAAAGAGGAGCAGCTATGGCAGTTGGTAATCGGCAGTGATGGTGATGGGCGTTTGCACTATAGGAGAACAAGAAATACAAAAAAACAAATGATAAATGGAAATTGGAGAGAGAAGCATATGTAAATTGAGTCGTGGGACAAATAATGGAGAAAAGGGGAAAGATGGAAGAAAAAAGGTAAAAGAAAGGTGATTATAAAGAACACTACAGATTTTTGGCTATAGGGACCGGGGATAATTCTGTTCCAGTCTCATTTTAAGAATCCATCAAAAACTGAAGAAACACTTGTTATCCTTAATATCCATAGAGGTCAGCATGAAATTGTTTGAATAGATTAGGCCTATGCTCAATCCATTATGTAAAAGTGCGAGGTGCCGTTTGGGTCTCATATAGATTAAGTCGGGTTGTGGTTTTACAATTTTAGCTTGGCTAATTTTTCCTTTGATAAATAATTTTGTGGACAGTGATAAGACACTCATGGAGAGCTGTCATAAATTTCGTGCATACTTGACTCTCGTCCATAGCTCTTCTATAGAGATGGATTGCTTGCAAGTTTCACAAATAATATATAGAAGTGAAGCAAAGCGAAGGAACATTGATCATCAAATAAATTCTTTAGCATCAAACTTCATATTTCAACCACGATTTTTTCCTGTAATTAAACAGATTTTCCTATTGCAATAACTAATTTTTCGCATGGGATTGATGCATTTTAATGCCTGTAATTTGATTAATTTCAAACAAGGGTATTTGTGACTGAAATAATTTGTTCTCTTTCCATTTCGTTTATTCTTAATTTACCGAACTGGCTCAGTATAAACTTTTTGTCTCTTATTACAGGTAACGAGTCACCAATATTTCCTTCTCCATCCTATAAGCTTCTCTAAAAACAATGGCCAAGCATCATCCTGATTTAATCATGTGCCGGAAGCAGCCCGGGATTGCGATTGGGCGTCTTTGCGAGAAATGTGACGGCAAATGCGTAATTTGCGACTCGTATGTGCGCCCCTGCACCCTTGTCAGGGTGTGTGATGAGTGCAACTATGGCTCGTTCCAGGGCCGCTGTGTCATCTGTGGTGGGGTCGGTATCTCAGACGCGTACTACTGCAAGGAGTGCACGCAGCAAGAGAAAGATCGAGATGGGTGTCCCAAAATAGTAAACCTGGGGAGTGCCAAAACTGATTTGTTTTACGAACGTAAAAAGTATGGCTTTAAGAAGAGATGATGTTCTCTATTTTTTATGGCATTTGATTTTTATGGATTTATGACTTTGGAGGCCTTTTTGGATTTTGTGTTGTGTGATGTTTTTGTCTTTGGCTGATCTATTATAAATATTAGTATTCCTACTTAAAATCATGTTATTATTTGTAAATATACCAAAAAACAATGTACTCCCTATGTTTTAAATTACTTGTCGTTGTAGCTGATAAAAAAACAAAATTACGTGTTTGAAGGAAGTAGTTAATTTGTCATTCTACATCTCTTAACTCTCCTAAATATTAGTAGTATTTTCTCTCTCCTCCTCAATTTTGTAGTTATCAATAAAAAATTTTGCATGTAAATTTTCATCTCCTAAATTCCAACTCTACTAAGAGCATCTCTAATAATAAATCTCAACAAACCTCATTTTTCTATTCCCAATGTGTCACATCACCCAAAATTCTATTTTTACTCCTACAATCTTTTTTTTTTCACATCACCCAAAACTCTATTTTTACTCCTACAATAAAAAACCCCAAATAACCATAACCACTTTTTTAATGGACCCACATGTTTCCTACTTATTTCTATTTTAATATCATACTTCTAAATATTAAATAACAATTCATTACAAAACTATATTTTATTCATTATAAAATTATATTTATTAACTTCATTGGGGTCCACATGAGGTTTTGGTGAGGTTTGAGTTTTCAAAGCTAAATACAAAACATAAACCTCAAACCTGTGAATTTTAACTGAAAAACTATGAGAGTGGGTTTTTCAAACCTGTGCAAAAGCTCTTATTAAAGTTGCTCTAAATGACAATTAATAAGAAAAAAGAATCATACCCTCCAACGACAATTAATAGAAAACGGAGAGAGTAATCATTATTTACATTTTTAAGAAAACTTATCAGTTTCTCTCTCCCATATAACGTCTCTCTCCCTATCTCTTCTTCTTCTTTTCTGTCCCTCTCCAAATCTTTTCTTTTTCGTTAACTAACTACTCATCATAAAAGAACAGAAGAAAAGAAATCCCAGAAAAAAGAACTGTGGCGATATCACTATACAAAGGGAACTTTCGCAAAGTGTTCGATGTACCTCTCGATGGCCGCCACCGACCCCAAAGCTTTTTCTCAAAGACTTCAAGATTCTCCTCCACCGCCGCGACATGGCGCTCACCCGTCTCCGCTCGTCCTCCGTCGAGGCCAATATCGATGTCGCAACGACATCAAGCCCTAGCCCCGAGCTCATTTTTGCTAATACCATTTCAATTCATGGAGATAGCGAGGTGAATAAAATCAATGGTGATAATCTTGCGAGCAATCACTGTTCTAAACCTGAATTGCTATTGAAGGGGAATTTAAAGGAAGAAGTGAATGAGGCAATGATAGATGAAAGAAGATATTCATTGAAGAAACTTATGGTATATCAGTATATGTGTCCGTCTGGGATCTGGTCAGGGCGGCGGTTGACGGGGGTATATGTTGCGGGGATATACAATATATTTTCAGTACATATGTTTCCGTCCGGGATATATACATTATATTTTCAGTATATCAAAAACAAACATATGAATGTGGAACATAACTTTGCAACTAAACGATAATAAACAAGATCACATATAATTTCGATATATAAAATATAGATAAACATGTTCTTAGATGTGCAAATAAATAAATAAAATACGGTGATCATATAAATTGAATGGAGCACTACACTTGAGTTTTTCGTAATTCAAGTCGGCGGTAGATCAAGACACATATATACAGAAAAGATACATAAAATATACACTCGAGTTTTACAGATCAGACACACATATACATTAAAGATACATAAAATGTACCCTTCGCCATTGTTTTCTTTTCTGATATTCATTTCAATGTGAGCAAATTTCATTTTTTATTTGTACCAGACCTGAAATCACGAGAAAAAAAAAAAGAAAGGAATGGAGGTGGAATGATATGTAACTAATTTTTAGGCATCTTTTCAATTAATTTTCATGTTGTAGGTACAAATGCAATAACATATTTATTAATTGTATAGTTGCAATTACTTACAATCTGTTGAAGTAAAGATGAAATTTCCCCTCAATATTTTGGTTGTGAATGGTTCTTTTGGTTAATCATAGTGAATTTGAAAGAAAATGATTTTGATAGGTTCGAGTATAATTTTATAAAAAAAAAAAAAAATCTTGTCCAAATATGAGATGTGTGCTTAAGGAGTCTAAATTATCACCTCCTTAGTATCCCTAATGTAGCTCTATAAATGCATCATTAAGCTCATGGGATTGAGAGAGAACAGAAGAGACCTAACGGGTATTATACACGATAGGTCACCACTCTCATACTCTCTCTCTAGTTCCCATAATCGAATTTTATCTTCCTCTTGTTGCTCCACCGATACAATTCGAAGAAGATGTTCGAGATATAGAGTAGAAGATCCCAAGGCACCGAGACCCCATGATCATCGACCGCCATCCATCCAACGTTGTCGACCACCGCGAGCCGCAACCGACGCCGTAGTCCGCGCACGCCGATGACCACCGTGAGGAGCCAACGACGCCCGCAAGCAGTCGTGCATCATCCCCGCACACCCTGGCGACCACTGCACGCAGCCGCGATGCCGTCTGACCTGTCGTACATGCGCGATGACCCCGCGCAGCCTGGCGACCGTACATCCCCGATCCATGTGCTCCCGGCCAACACTCCCGACGAGCTTTTCGAGTCCAACGAGAAGAATTCGACAGCCCAACAGATTTTGAGTTTAGAAGATCTCCTAGAAAGGAAATCTACAACGACTTAGGGTCTGCTATTTTGAATATTTATTTTTAGATAGCCTCATTTTTGTAAAATTGATATTTTGGGGTCATGAGATAACCTTATTTTGAAGGTTGATTTGTAGTCTCACTAGTATGGGTGTTTAATTTGATGAAATCGAACCGAATTGACCAAAAATTTGGTTAATCAGAATTTCGGTTTGTCTGACATGTAAACCGCAAATCGAATCAAAATTTTTTGTTTGGTTAAGTTCGGTATTAAACCAAAATTTATCGATCTAATCGGTTCGGTTACCGGATAACTGGTAAATGGAAAAAGGTAGAAAATCTATAAGCCTTGAGTTACAAAATTTCAATAGCTTGCTAATTAGTAATTTCATCAAACCAAACTCAATCATATAGAGGAAGAAAAAAAAAAGATATCTTGTCGAAAAATACAAATCTATCAAGTTCATTCAATGTTATCGAGTCGATTCAAGACAATTTACA